GTTACAATAATCTAATAGAGGATCTACAAGTAGTAATGTAAGAGAGGAAAGAGTTATATTATAGCAGGAAGTCAACAGATAAATATCCAAAACATAAATCAAGAAATGGCAAAAGAACCATAGTACTGAGCCCTGTGGAAGACTCTCCAGAAGAAACTGAAATTCAAATCGGGGTCCCTGTGTATATGCAGCATTTGGCTCCGGCTCTATCACTTAGGAGCTCTGCAACCTTGGCAATGACATGGCTTTTTCATGCCTAATTCATCAACTGTAAAATGGGGTCATATCTACATTATGCAGATCTTACATTAAAATATTAACACATGTAAAACATGTAGAAGAATACCTGGCATTTAAAAATGAGTAATAAAAATTTTGACCAAAATTAATAAAAATACACTAAGAAAAAAGTAATAAATGCTAGGTGATACTAGCAAAACAACCTAGAAGAAAAATGTTATGATAAACCAAAAGAATGACAGCCACGCCTAGGCAAACTGACCATGTGGGTGCTCACCTCACCCTGCACCCCCACTCCTGCCAGGTAACCCAAGACTCCCTCAAGTTCTGGCTGCCCCTGATGGAGCTTTCCTAGTCACTCCTGGTACATGGGGACCAGCCCTGGACTCCTGGTTCTGGCCCCTGCCCACCCACCTCTGTTAGCAGATGGCTGACACATCACTAAAGTTGCCCTCCTCCACAATCAGTGACTTCGGTTAGGGCACCTTCAGACCCTCGGGCACTATGGTCATGCTCCCTCAGGTAAGCTCTGGTTTGTCATGAGAACTCTTCACATGAGAACCCTACTGTCGGTTCCAGATGGGAGGCCACATGCTCCTGCCACCTTTCCTCTCTTGCCAGTAGGTTCACCTCCAGGTTGCCATCACCTCTCACTCAGACACCTGCCACCTGATAGACCTGCCAATTTAAATGTGTCCCCACGCTGCCCCTTCAGCCCCTCAGAGCAGCTCAGCTCTGGCTAGGTCTTCCCCTCCTCTATAATGCCCTACAGAATGCCACCCACGTTCCAAGGAGGCCCCAAATGAAGGGACGATATCAGGAGCTCTCACAACTCCCTCCCAGGGCCCCTTGGGCCCATCCCCCAGGCCTGGCTCAGCAAAGCCTCTCTCTGATCAGGGGCGCTCCCCCACAGCCCACTCTTGAACACTGTCATTTAATGGACTTGTCTTGTTGTCCCTGTTTAGACTCCCAATCCCTGCAGGTCAGGGCTGCAGAAGTGGTACTGGACCTCTCTCTATATGCCACACAGCATCTAGAGTGCCCCACAACAGTTAGCTCCCCACAGGGATGGCTGGAGACAGTGAGGAAGGTTGGCCACGTGGGGCAGGGCAGGCATGGCTTTCCCCCATTTGGAATGTTGTTTCCTTTGGCAGCCATTCCTTGCATTTGGTATGTTTGGGACCAGCAGGCAACAAAATCTTCACCTGCTCTTGAACAAGGCCTCTCTTGCTACTTCCTTTCCTCGGGTGGTGTTTTTTGATGCTAAGTATAAGATGTCATATTTCATCTCTGCTGCATGCCTTGGGGATGGGAGCTGCTACCTCTGCCTTGAAGGTCTGCAATTGCCTGATGGTAAAAAGGACCAGGAAGGTGATCTACTTTCTCCCTTCACCCACCTCTCAGGCCCTCCAGTTCTGCTCAGACAGACCCTAACAGAGACTACACCAGCTCCCGAGATGCCCCACAGCCCTGTGGAACACAGTGGAGCGGCCCAGGAACAGATGTTTCCCCAAGGCCATTCCCCAAAAGCAGTCAAAAGTGGCCCCTTCTACTGTGTACTCCATGGTGGGAGAACTCATGGTAGGACATTTGACTGGTAAATCTCTTATCAGGCCAGATTCTGTCTTCCTATTGTGTTGGCTTACTGGTCCTGACCTTTGGAAACCACAGAACAAATTTTACCTGTTGTATGTTAACCATTTAAACGGTTGAATATAGCTATAGAGCTCCCTTTACAGCTCCTTTCCAGACACAGTAAAATGATCACAAGGGCCTCAGATACCAGCATGTCAGGATAGGAAGGACAAAACACAAACTCCGATTCATGGGGTTCTACATACCCCCAACCAGGCCAGAGTCCTGCCCAGGATCTTTCAAACTGGAGTTCTGGTTGGGGCAGGAAGAGGAGGGAGGCATGGGGTACAGAACTCTCACTCCATTAGGGAGGAGGCTGCAGAAAGGGATGCATGGGCACTCCCTATGGAGGGAGGAAACAAAGCTGAGGGGAGACTGAATCCCTAAGGCCCTCAGAGCTGCCTGGTTGCTGCCTGCCCAAGGACTGCCAAACTCCTCCTCAACTCTGTGAGCCACTCCCAGGACCCCCTTCTGCAAATTTTTTTCTTTTCCTCTTCTGGCTGATGCTAAAGATGGGTTTCTGTCCCTGGCAATACCGAGGGTCCGACAGCCAATCCCAGACCCAGCCTGAAGGATTTTCATTAGAGGCTGGTCTACTGCTTCGGTTATTTCACATTTAGTCCAACCAACATTCCTGAGCACCAATCGTGCACCAGGCTCCAGACGCTAGAAAATGCAAAGATGGAAAAGGCATGCTGTCTACTATAGTCAAAGGCTTAGAGCACATAATTAATAATTAAGAGAACACTCGTTCCACTGGAAGTAATCTTACAAGTCAGTGGTATCTAACATCTAAGATGAAAAGAACAAAAGTTAAAATTGTCCAGGTGCAGTGGCCCACGCCTGTAATCCCAGCATTTTGGAAGGCCAAGGCCGGAGGATCACCTGAGGTCAGGACCAGCCTGACCAATATGGTGAAACCCCGTCTCTACCAAAAATACAAAACTTAGCCGGGCGTGGTGGCACACACCTGTAGTCCCAGCTACTCAGGAGGCTGAGGCAGAAGGATCACTTGAATCTGGGAGGCGGAGGCTGCAGTGAGCCGAGATTGCACCACTGCACTCCAGCCTGGGTGACAAGAGGGAGACCCTTCTAAAAGAAAAAAAAAAATTGTCCTGGTTAGTGACAACTAGGCTGTCAAGATGACTGGATTTTTAGCTTCTTTTAAATGACTACGCCACAAATACTACAGAAAAAAAGGGGAGCAGGGAGAGCAAGGACACAAAAGCTAAAACTTATCACAACTGTGACAGCAGTGGCAATATGACCATGGTGGCTACTTTCGAACACAAATACAGTCGTTGCTGATAGTAAGACAAATGCTCAAGTTGGAAATATGTAGGACACCATCTAAAGATCAGCAACCTCCAGTGCTACAGACTGAAAAGGCTGGGAGGTAAACATGATGCAGAGGAAAACTGTTGCCCAGCTGGGCTGCCCAAGCAGGGTCTGGGATGGACCCTGGCAGAGCTGGGTCTTCATTCATGATGGGACTTGTGGGGTCACAGTCCAAAATGTTTGGCAAACAGTCACTGCCCTTCATCTTTACTCGATACTAGAAGTGGCCAAACAAGGGAAGTCCTCTGGCTCACATCTCAGTTCTGAAGACCTGCAAATATGTACTCCAAAGGCCCCTGAAAGACCTGAAGGCCGGGGTTCACAGGGCCAGCATCAGTGACGAAGGCAACGTTTACCTGTGATGCTGATGGGCGCATCTGAAAGTGCAGATAGCAGCAGTTTATGGACTGCTGTGAAAATGTGGGAGATGAATAGGCCTTTTCACTGCCTCCTCCTCTCAAGCCCCTTTTGTAGGGAGATGGAGGAAGCAACAAAGGAGAGATTTATCACCATGAGCCCGTTCAGCAGCTGTTTTCTTGTTGTTCCTTGTTTAACTTCTCTCAGGAGAGAGGAGAGTTATCTGTGCAGCTAAGCAGGTGTTTCAGGCAGGTGATTTTGTTTCCATTAATTTTATTAAATAGTAGACCAGACTGGAGGGTTCAGACTGGAGGGTTTATCTCATGCACTTAGGAACTCCCGCCCCGTGCCTGCGAAATTACTAGGTGTGTGCTCGAGAGGAATGTTATATGCCGCTCCCTGTTGCTTTCAGCATCTTCAAATCTCTAACTCTAATAGGAAGCAGAATTTAAGAGCCACAGCCCATCCCTACCCTGCGACACCCAGATCTTGTCTGCTTTAAGTAATGTGTTAGAGACACAGTCAAGTTGGAGGCTTTTGAGTTCTCAGGAGAAAGAAGATGAAGAGAAGCTTGACATGTCAAAGCCCAGCTCTATCAACCATCACATTCATGACTCTACTCATAGTCTCATGTTATAAGCAATTGCAAGAGAGTTTCACATAAAACATGGGGAAAAAAAGTTTGTTTGTTTTTTGTTTTTTGTTTTTTGTTTTAAAAAAACAGAGTCTTGCTCTGTCGCCCAGGCTGGAGTGCAGTGGCGTGATCTCGGCTCGCTGCAAGCTCCGCCTCCCGTGTTCACTCCATTCTCTTGCCTCAGCCTCCCAAGTTGCTGGGACTACAGGCACCCGCCACCACGCCCAGCTAACTTTTTGTATTTTTAGTAGAGACGGGGTTTCACCGTGTTAGCCAGGATGATCTCCATCTCCTGACCTCGTGATCTGCCTGCCTCGGCCTCCCAAAGTGCTGGGATTACAGGTGTGAGCCACCGCGCCTGGCCAACAAAGTTTTTTAAAAAAATAAATTTAGGCTGAGCACCGTGGCTCATAGCTGTAATCCCGGCTCCTCAGAAGGCTGAGGCAGAAGAATCGCTTGAACCTGGGAGGTGGAGGTTGTAGTGAGCTCCACTGCACTCCAGCCTGGGCAACAGAGTGAGACTCTGCCTCAAACAAACAAACAAACAAATAAATAGCGCAAGGCCCCCTGAACCTATACATTTAACCCAAAGGTCTTGGCGAACTTTATTCTCACGGGGAAGGCAGGCATGCAGCACGTGCATCCTGCACTACCGTTGTGTTGTTTGCTAGAGCAAGGAACTTGTCTACCCCTTGTCCAGCCTCAGCTGCAGACAGCCACCATTCACCCAGGGGCGGAGGAGAGCAGCACGCTTCTCCATCCTGAAGCCTGTGTGCCACCCCAGCCCTTTGATTACCTTCAACTTTCTCCGGCTGTAGAACCATCGCCACAGCGCGCGAACATGCGGTGCCACATTTCTTTCTCTTTATCCACATAGTCCCTGTAATCGCTGGAGAGGGAAATACATACTCATTAGAGGAGGTCTGTGTTTGGAGGAGGTGACATCTGGTGGCTGGAATTTTCCACTCACATCCAGAAACACTGAAAATTCATCAGGACTCAAACTGAATCGGGAAGGATGGAAGTAAGCTGGAGAAGTGGGGAGGCAGGGAAAGCTCCCACAGTTGGCCAAGGAGCCAAGCCCCTGGACAAAAAGCCTGTAATTGGAAAGGACGGCCGCCTTGAAGGGCAGGTGCCTCTGGCCATGAGGCTCCAGGCTGAGTCTCACCAAGTGACCCCACACCCTCAGCAGCCTCTAACCTCTCCTGATTTTCTCACTAAAGAATGACCAGATCTGACAGGATACTTTTAAATACCAGAAATGAAATTGCTGGCAAGTCCTAAAAGGCTTGAAATGTAACCTAAGAGATACTCACATCTCAGACACTGATGCCAAGCAAGATATAACTAGCAATCTGGACTGAATGTTTAATATTAAGACAAGTAGAGAATTTCACTATTAGAGAAGAACATATACCTTAAAAGCCATGTACCTATTACCAAGTGATGGAGTTATGGGGGACTTCTCTTTATACATAGATACTTTCAGAGTTTCTACAATGAACACAAAACTTCTATAATGAGAAAAAATTACATCACGAAAAGACTGGTGTGCTTAGTCATGTGGGTAACAAGGAGGTCAATCTATGGGTATGAGTCAGACCCGAAAGGCCTGTTCCTGGTTGCACGAGGACCTATGAGGAGCCTTCCTGCACTTGGTTAGGAGCAGTGGTTCTTGGTGGAGCACGCAGGGAAGAGCACACCAGAAGACTCTTTTTAAGTGACACCAGGGCCGGTCGCGGTAGCTCATGACTGTAATCCCAGCACTTTGGAAGGACGAGGTGGGGGGATCACCTGAGGTCAGGAGTTTGAGACCAGCCTGGTCAACATGGTGAAACCCTGTCTCAACTAAAAATACAAAAAAAATTAGCCAGGCGTGGTGGTACACACCTGTAATCCTAGCTACTTGGGAGGCTGAGACAGGAGAATCACTTGAACTCGGGAGGCGGAGGTTGCAGTGAGCTGAGATCGTGCCATTGCACTCTAGCCTGGGTGACAGAGGGACTCCATCTCAAAAAAAAAAAAGAAAAAGTTACACCCTCCCACCTCTCTAGGGGGTGCTTATTTGTGGTAGGGGAAACAGAAAGGTGGGCGATGAAGGAGATGTATAGTTTGGCAGTCTGTCCCACCTGCTTGCTGGGAACTGCTGGTGCAGCGCACTGCTAAGCACTTCAGAAACCCAGCTGCAGAGGGGGTTGCCTCCTAACACTCTGGGCAACACCGCCAGACCATCCTTTACCCAGGTGGACAGACCAGAGTCGCAACCCCACCCATCTCCTCTCGTCATGCTCCTGCAAACACAGCTCACCTAGCCAGTTTCTTCAGCTCGTTATTGATGTCGTGATTGAAGGGTTGCTCCCTCTGGGCTCGAACTAGAAAATCCCGGGCCTTTTGATACTCAGTCAGGAGAAGACAAGCCTGTCCCAAGGAGAGAACTTTAAAAGCACAGTTAGAAAAGACAGCATCTGGCTGGTGCGGTGGCTCACGCCTATAATTCCAGAACTTTGGGAGGACAAGGTGGGCAGATCAGCTGAGGTCAGGAGTTTGAGACCAGCCTGGCCAACATGGCAAAATCCCATCTCTACTAAAAATACAAAAATTAGCTGGGCGTGATGGTGCACGCCTGTAATCCCAGCTACTTGAGAGGCTGAGGCAGGAAAATTGCTTGAGCCCAGGAGGCGGAGGTTGCAGCGAGTCGAATTTGCACCACTGTACTCCAGCCTGGGCGACAAGAGCAAAACTCTGTCTCAAAAAAAAAAAAAAAAAAAAAAAAAAAGAGCATTTATGCAGTAGCTGAGTTGAGCACTCCTATTACCTTTTTCTGGGTGTTTATTCCCAAGTCACTGGCTTCCCACTCACCTGTCCACACCTGAAGAGGGCCTTGGCATTCTTTTGGTCAATGATCAAAGCCTGCTCTCCATAGCGCAGGGCTATGGTGGGTCGGTCTAGCTTCAGGTATGTAAAGGACAGGTTCAGGAGAACAGGAAGCTTGGCGGCCTCCACCAGGTGCTGCTCTTCAGAGGGTGCTGATCGCCGGCGCAGAAGCAACAAGGCCTGTGCAGAGGCAAGGCAGACACTCAAGAGGAGTAACAGCCTTACCTACAAAACCCTAAGCAATCCACACACAAAAACTATCAGAGCTAAAAACTGGCTGTTATAGGTTGTAAGACACAAGATCAACCTAAAAAGTCAGGTACATTTCTTCTTTTCTTTTCTTTTTTTTTTTTTTGAGACCGAGTCTTGTTCTGTCGCCAAGCTGGAGTGATCTCAGTTCACAGCAACCTTCGCTTTCCGAGTTGCTGGGACTACAGGTGCGCATCACCATGCCTGGCTAATTTTTTCATATTTTAGTAGAGATAGGGTTTCACCATTTTGGCCAGGATGGTCTTGATCTCCTGACCTTGTGATCTGCTCACCTTGACCTCCCAAAGTGCTGGGATTACAGGTATGAGCCACCACACCCTGCCAAAAGTCAGGTATATTTCTATGCTCTAGCAACGAACAATCCAAAAATGAAATTAAGAAAACCACTCCATTTATAATAGCATCAAAAAGAATACCATAAGTAGCAATAAACTTAAAACAAATGATACACTTGCACACTGAAAACTACAAAATGTTGTGGAAAGAAATTAAAGATGGCCAGGCACAGTGGCTCACACCTATAATTCCAGCACTTTGTGAGGCTGAGGCAGGCTGATCACGAGGTCAGGAGATCGAGACCATGGTGAAACCCCATCTCTACTAAAAATACAAAAAATTAACTGGGTGCAGTGGTGTCGCCAAGCTGGAGTGATCTCAGTTCACTGCAACCTCTGCCTTCTGAGTAGCTGGGAGGCTGAGGCAAGAGAATGGCGTGAACTCGGGAGGCGGAGCTTGCAGTGAGCTGAGATGGCGCCACTGCACTCCAGCCTGGGTTACAGAGTGAGACTCCGTCTCAAAAAAAAAAAAAAAAAAAAAAAAAAGAAATTAAAGATGATTCAAATAAAATGGAAAAACATCTCATGTTCATTAATTGGAAGACTTAATATTAAGATGGTAATATTTCCCCAACTGGTCAACATATTCATGCAACCCTACCAAAATTTCAACATCCTTTTTTATAGACAGACAATTTGATTAGATAATTCATACGGTGGCCAGGTGCAGTGGCTCACGCCTTTACAATCCCAGCATTTGGAAGGCCAAGGCGGGCAGATCACCTGAGGTTGGGAGTTCAAGACCCGCCTGGCCAACATAGTGAAACCCCATCTCTACTAAAAATACAAAATTATCTGGGCATGGTGGCAGGTGCCTGTAATTCCAGCTACATGGGAGGCTGAGGCAGGAGAATCACTTGAACATGGGAGGCGGAGGTTGTGGTGAACCGAGATTATACCACTGCACTTTAGCCTAGGTGACAGTGTGAGACTCCATCTCAAAAAAAAAAAAAAAAAAAAAGCCATATGGAAATTCAAGGGACCCCGAATAGCCAAAATACTCTTGAGAAAGAACAAAGTTGGAGAACTCATATTTCCCAATTTCAAAACTAAAAGAAAAAAAATAAACAAAAAAAGAAACTTCCTAAAGTCACAGTAATTAAGACAGTATAGCACTAGCATAAGAACAGACATGTAGATCAATGAAATCGAACACAGAGTCCAGAAATAGATTTTTATATCTATAGTCAACTGATTTTCAACAAGGGTGTCCAGACCATTCAATGGGAGAAAATAACTGTCTTTTCAACAAATAGTGCGGGACAAGAGGCTATCAACATGCAAAAGAATGTTTACCTCACACTACAGGTAAAAATTAACTAAAGTGAAGCATAGCCCTAAAAGTAGAAGTTAACACTCTAAGACTCTGCACTCGATTCGGCAGCACGTATACTAAAAACTGGAAAGACAGGGAGAAGATAGGTATGGCCCCTGTGCAAAGATGACATGCAAATTCATGAAGCATTTCATATTAAAAAAAAAAAACTATCAGACTTTAGAAGAACACATAGGTGTAACTTTTTGTGACCCTGGATTAGAAAACGGTTTCTTTTTTTTTTTTTTTTTTTTTTTTTTTGAGACGGAGTCTGGCTCTGTCGCCCAGGCTGGAGTCAGTGGCCCCAGGCTGGAGTGCAGTGGCCGGATCTCAGCTCACTGCAAGCTCCGCCTCCCGGGTTTACGCCATTCTCCTGCCTCAGCCTCCCGAGTAGCTGGGACTACAGGCGCCGCCACCACACCCGGCTAGTTTTTTGTATTTTTTAGTAGAGACGGGGTTTCACCGTGTTAGCCAGGATGGTCTCGATCTCCTGACCTCGTGATCCGCCCGTCTCGGCCTCCCAAAGTGCTGGGATTACAGGCTTGAGCCACCGCGCCCGGTCAGAAAACGGTTTCTTAGATAAAACACCAAAAGCACAAATAACCAAAGAATTAGACTTCATCAAAATATAAAACTTTTGTGTTTCAAAGGACACTACCAAGGAAGTGAAGAGACAGCCCACAGAATGGCATAGAGCATTTGCAAATCCTGTATTTGTTGAGGGTCTAGTATCCAGAGCACATCAACAACATTTACTCCTCAGTATAAAGACAAATGACCCAATTTTCTGATACGCATAGACTCTGAATAGACATTTTTCCAAAGACAGACAAATAGTCATTAAATGCATGAAAATATGTCCAATGTCATTAGTCGTCAGGGAAATGGAAATCAAAACCACAGTGAGACACCACTTCACCCCCGCTAGGATGCCTCACTTTAAAAATATAAAATAAGTATTGGTGAAGATGTGGAGAAATTGGAAGCTTCGCACATTACTGGTGGGAATGTAAAATGGTGCAGCTGTTGTAGGAAAGTTTGGCAGTTCCTCAAAAATCTTGACAGTTCCCACACGATCCAGCAATGGCACTCTAGGCACATACCCGAGAAAACTGAAAACATGCGTTCACATGAGAACTTGTACATAAATGCTCACTGCATCAGTCATAATAGTCACGAAGTGGAAACAACCCACATGTCCAACTGATGAATGGACAAAGAGCAGCAGAGCCATCCAACGGAAAAGCAGCCTTACAAAAGAACGAGGGACCAGGCGCAGTGGCTCATGCCTGGAATCCCAGCACTTTGGGAGGCCAAGGTAGCGGATCATCTGAGGTCAGAAGTTCAAGACCAGCCTGGCCAACATGGTGACAACCCATCTCTACTAAAAATACAAAAATTAGCCAGGTGTGGTGGCGGGTGCCTGTAATCCCAGCTACTTGGGAGACTGAGGCAGGAGAATCGCTTGAATCCGGGAAGCGGAGGTTGCAGTGAGCTGAGATCATGCCATTGCACTCCAGCGTGGGCGACAGAGACTCCGTCTCATAAAAAAAAAAAACACAAAAAAGAATGAGGTCTGTACATGCTACAACATGGAGGAACCTCAAAGACATGCTAAGTGAAAGATGCCAGCCACAAAATGACACATATTTGACAATTATAGTTACACGAAATGTCCCGAATAGGCAAATCCATAGAAACAAAGGAGAACAGAGGCTATCTGGGGCCAAAGAATTGTGAGTTTCATTTCGGGGTGAGGAAAATGTTCCAGAATTAGATAGTGGTGATGGCTGCACAACTTTGTGAATATACTAAAAACCACTGAATTGGACACTTTAAAAGCACGCATTTTATGGTATGTGAATCATATCTCAACAAAAAAATAGTAAAACAATAAAAATGGGTGAAGGCAGAGCCTGCACTCCCTGGGACTCCATTTGGAAGGTGCAAGTAGAGTGGAAGAATTGGAAGGCCGGGGGCGGGGGCCTCATACCTGGAATCCCAGCACTTTGGGAGACTGAGGTGGGCAGATCTTCTGAGGTCAGGAGTTCAAGATCAGCCCGGCCAACATGGAAACCCCGTCTCTATCAAAAATACAAAAAATGAGCTGGGCGTGGTGGCGGGTGCCTGTAATCCCAGCTACTTGGGAGGCTGAGGCAGGAGAATCGCTTGAACCCGGGAGGCGGAGGTTATAGTGAGCTGAGATGGCACCAGTATACTCCAGGCTGGGAGACAGAGCATGACTCTGTCTCAAAACAAAACAAAACCAAAAACAAACAAACAAACAAAAAAACCCAAAAAACAGAAGAACTGGAAAATGTGTCAGGAGATGGCAGCACAGGCAGAAAGTCATGAGCCTTCCTTAGTCTTCCCTTCCATCTCTAAACTCTGGGCATTCACCAGGCAAGTTCCCATCAACTGTCTCCACACCTACAGAGTGGATTCGGGTCCCGTTCACATCACCAGCTGGAATCTCACGCCTGAACCTGCTCTCATACCCAGATGAAATCGTGAAGCAAGTTGTCACCTGGAAACAGTTTTCTACAGGCCCGCTTACCTGCTCATTCCCATGAGTGATCAAAATTGAAAGTAACACATTCATTTCCCAGTTATTCCTTGGTTTAAAATTTTTTCTCATACCAGGAAGCTTCAAGTAATTCCCTTCTTCTGTTTCCTTGATCTCTTACATATACAACTTCATCAAGTCTAACCATCCATTTTGTGGAAGTACTTCCAGAGCTGCTGCTTCTATTTGCACAACTCACAACTGCTTTAACACATTCCTGGATCCTGTTAATAGGTTTAGGCGCAGCACATCCAGTACAGTGCCTAACATGAAACAGATCCTCATTAAAATGAAGTTTGTCATTTGACATGTCCTGCACACAGTGGTATGATGGTACATGTTTAATAGCCAGCTCTCGGGGGGAGGCGGAGCCCTGCTTTGTAGTATTTGCCTATTCCTGTGCTGTAAATATTCCTACCAGAGCTGATTTCAAGCTACCAAAGTGACATTAACCAGGGCACAAAACTCCTGAAAATTTTACAATTGAAATTTTGAGTTTTCACGAGCTCCAGCACAACTACTACCTCTTCCCCGAACATGACTTTGATCAACACACTCTTCCTCAGTGGTTCCCTGCCATCCACTTCATCAAGTCCAAATCCACCCACGCATATTTGAATGTCTTCCTGAATGTGGCTGCCTCCTATGATTCCTTAGATGTAACCTATATTTCTGACTAGGAATCTACCAACTGTGGCCTGAATAGGTTCTGATCACTTCCGTACCTTTGCTCATGTTTTTTCCTGCCGAGAGTTTATGGTGGAAGGGATAAGACAGCTCTCAGGGATCTCTTTTATAAGGCCACTAACTCCATTCATGAGCATTTCATCCTCATGACCTCATCACCTTCCAAAGGCCCCACCTCCTAATATCACATAGATGATTAGGTTTCAACATACACATTTTGGGGAGACACAAACATTCAGACCATAGATATTGGTTAGCTGTTGGAACGGCATTTTATCTCCCTAGATTCAAATCCCTTGAAAGCAGGAACCCCAATACTTCTTGTGTGACCCAGAAAATGCTGAGCAAAAGGTGGAGACACAGTGGTGCTGACAATGTCAGTCTACTGCTCCAAAGACAGAAACTTTGCACTAGGAAAAGACATGCAAAACCTCTAGCTCAGCAAGGCAGGCTCCACACACATCCCTACTTTCTCCATCCCTAAGGGACTAAGACAGGCAGTACTCCAACATGAGCAAAGGACAGGAAAAGGACCAATAAACCCAAGGGGTCAGGGTGGGTGGCAGTGTGATGACTTCACAGAGTGGTGCCAATGTAAAAGGGACTGGTCTGCCCCTCAGAACCTGGAAAGACCTGGGAACCGATGGAACCAGGAATTAGAGCTATCTGGTGGGGCTGAAAAAAGGAGGTCAGGTAAAATGTTCCCCCCACCCTCATTGCCCCTATGTGTCCAGATGGCCTCAGGAATCACGAGGTCTACTTTCTGGGAAAATGGAACCAATGAGGCCCTTGACTTGGGGGCAGGCTGGAGCAGACAGAAGGAAGGTAAGTATACTGGTAACGGGGCTATGAAAGGGAATCTCAATACCAGACAGTGAGAACCTCTGTCTCGCAGCCCTGCTCGGCTCCCAGAATGCTGGTCCCTCGGCATGTACACGGGGCAGAAAGAGGAGGACTCAATGGACCCTGAGAAAACACCTACGTACTCTGACGCGTGTAGTCTCTCTTTCACCACACTGCCCCACCAAGTACCTGGAGTTCCTAATCAGCTCTGTGATGTCTCTTTTAAATCTTAGTGGTCAAAGATCACCAGCCATTTGAGGAAAGCCTCCGTGAAAGAGGGGCCTCCTGTCTCCCAGTAGCTGCTCTCCCTTCCTTCATAGGAATAGGACTTTTTTTTTTTTGGCCAGGAATATGTACAACCAGAATATAGATATTTGTTAGCCTTCTTTGCAGCTATGCAAGGCCTGGAGAACACGTTCTGGAAAACATAATTCAGTAGAAGTGTCATATGACAAGAACCTTCCTTAACAGAGCCGTATATGTCCCAGCCTTTCTTTCCTTCTGGTGCTAGAACTCAGAGACCCTCATCCTGGACTATAAGGCCAGAGTCCCACCCTAGAAATAAGAACTAGGTATCTGAAAATGTCTGGAGCAGAGTCACCAACTGGCCCTGGCTTGCATGCCTCTACTCTAGCCTTTTACACGAGTGAGAAATAAACCATCTTTAGGTCACTGACAAACTTAGTGCAAAAGGACACAGTCCCCAGTATGTAGAAAAACCAAACAGAAAAAGAATGAGATTAAATTATAATCAACAGTCTAAACATATAAAATAATATATGCATGAAACAAGAACAGAATGCTGGGGAGGGGAAGAACAAAGAGCCCTTCAATTTCCTAAAATTTATTTTTTGTGGAGATGGGATCTTGCTATGGTGCCCAGACTGATCTTTAACTCCTGGCTTCAAGCCATCCTCCCACCTTGGACTCCCAAAGTGCTGGACTTATAGGTGTGAGCCACTGTGCCTGGCCCCCCAATTTTAAATGAAAAATTCATCAGAAGAGGTGGCCAAAAGTCAAGTAAAGCTTCCAGACGATGACACGAACAGGAGAAAAGATGGAAACTAGTTTGCGGGGGTAGGGACAGCCAGAAGCTCAGTGCAGGAGGCCTGATAATAGGAGTTCCAGAAAAAGACGGCAGAGGGAACAAGAGTAAAGTATTAAAGAAATAACTCAAGAGTTTCCCAGAGTGGAGGAAAAGTTTCCTGAATGAAAAGATACACCATGGGCTCAACACAAAATTTAAAATACATACACACAGAGGCACATCACTGTAAAATTTAGGAATGCCGGAACAAATGATCTTCATCTCTACAGAGGAAAAACACAGGTCACGTAGAAAGGAACAGGAACCTAAGTGGTAATAAAATTTTGTTGTTGTTGTTAGCTTTGAGCTCAGAACTAACAAGACCTTTTTTTTTTTTTTGAGACGGAGTTTCACTCTTGTTCCCCAGGCTGGAGTGCAGTGGCACTGTCTTGGCTCACTGCAACCTCCACCTCCCAGGTTCAAGCAATTCTCCTGCCTCAGCCTCCCAAGTAGCTGGGATTACAGGCACCCACCACCACATCCGGCTAATTTTTACATTTGAGTAGAGATGGGGTTTCACCATGTTGGCCAGGTTGGTCTCAAACTCCTGACCTCAGGTGATCCACCCGCCTTGGCCTGGCATGAGGGTTTTTTAAAATGAGGTTTTTCTTAATGGCTGCTCATGGAAAGTAGGGAGAAAGACAAAAATCTGTTTTTTTGCCAGGCACGGTGGTTCACGCCTGTAATCCCAGCACTTTGGGAGGCCAAGGCAGGTGGATCATGAGGTCAGGAGATCGAGACCATCGTGGCTAACATGGTGAAACCCCATCTCTACTAAAAATATAAAAAAATTAGCTGGCGGGCACCTGTAGTCCCAATGACTCGGGAGGCTGAGGCAGGAGAATGATGTGAACCTGGGAGGTGGAGCTTGCGGTGAGCCGAGATTGTGCCACTGCACTCCAGCCTGGGCGACAGAGTAAGACTCTGTCTCAAGGAAAAAAAAAAAAAGTCTGTGTTTTTTAAACAAGGAAGTTTTCAGGATCTAAACTTACACTTAACTTTTAAATCATTCTTACCCTTTTATATCTCACTTTGGCATCACAGAAACGATTCTGGCGGAAAAGGTAATTGCCAAACTCCCGTTCTGTAGCTGCCACTTTAAGGACCTTCTGAAGTGGATATTGGTCTTGCTGCTCCTGAGAACCAGAGACAGGAATACTCAGCAGGGAAACCCAAAAGCCATAACACCACAAGCAAAGTGTTAGTACACGTGAGCCCAGGAGTTCGAGACCAGCCTGGGCAACACAGTAAGAACACGTCTCCATTTAAAAAAAAAAAAAAAGTAATTGAAAGAAAGAAGTGTTACTACAGCGGTGAGCTCTTCTTTTTCAGATCATGCACTTCTGTTTACAGCCTTCTATGTTGGAGTCACTTCTGAATCTGACAGAAGCCACACAGGTGTTATAACCGGTCCCATTTTACACACTAGAGCCAGAAGGAAGTCTACTTCTTCAGTCTTCCCCCGATGTTCTCTGAGGAAGCAGTCTCCCATGGAAGTGGAAACTGATGGAGCTTGCCAAGCACAGAAGTCAGTGCTCAAAACCACTATTTGGCCACCAAGCATCGAACAGGTCTTGGTTTGCTCAGCGCCCTGGTGGTCTTTATGGTTGTGATGCTCTACCCTGGCCATCTTCAGAGTTACCCATAGAGCCTCTTTGGTCCCGGCCCCACCCCACAGATCCTAAACCAGTACACCAGGCATCTGCAAGAAAATCTAATCTTGGAAGGATGAGAAAAGCGTGAGCTCCCTCACTTGGAGTGCTGACAATTTAGCTGGAGAGATACCGTGTGAAGATACAAAACCTGGGAAGGACCTCTAAGGCCACAGATAGAGTCAGTGTGAGATGGCATGATAAAGACAGTGCCTGTGACTGCTGACGGGGTCAGAAGCCCTGCATCTAAGGGACAGGGTTAAGTGAAAGGCTACAAAGAGGAGGCAAGACTTAAGTGGTAAGGACAGTGGCCATATATTCCAGTTTGCCTGGGACTGTCTCAGTTTAAACCGATGTCATGGGTAACCCCTCCAGTGAATAGCCCCTTTTACTCTCACCTGTGCTGGGCTGGACAATCAATTATCCAGTCACCCTAGTTATGAGCTACCAATGCCTGTCTTGCTGGAAACCAAACAATGATGAAAAGCAAGTGCTGTCTCACAGGGAGAACTAGGCAAAGGGTGACCGGAAAATCAGTTCAAACCACAAATCCTTAAACTCACAGCCTTACCTCGCCCCAGCGCATTTATCTACACATGAGAGCTGTTACTAAGACAAACACAGACTAGGAAGCAGAGGAACTCCGCCACCAAGGCCCAGGCCCCGCGGGGGGACCCTGGAGGGGACAATCAGCAGCAGGGCAGGCTATCTAGAAGAATTCCCAAAAACAGCAACCCATTCGTCTCTCTGTAAAGTGCTGACATCTGTGCTCTGGAACTTACAGCTGAGAGAGCACAAAACTTGTCCGACTCAGCAGAGTCTAGGAAGTCAAGCAGCTCAATCTCGAACAGGACAGTGGTGTTTGGGGGGATTAAGGGAGGGCAGCCCAAAGTTCCATAGGCATAGTTCGGTTTGAACAGAAACCTGGCCAGCTCTCCTCTCCGCATGCTCAGAAGACCCAGCTCCATGCCCCACAGTGTAATATCTGTAAGAAGACACAAAGAAGGTGGGTGAAGCTTGCTCAGTATCCTGCTCAATGCTCAGTTTCTTCCCCTTCTAAGTCAGCAGTACTTTGGCCTCCATGTCTCCCTCACACAGTTCCCTCTTCCTGCAATGTCTTCCTCCTGAGCCTACACCCAGCTTCTACCGATAGAAATTTTATTCAAACTTCCGGGCTCAGTTCAAATGCCGCCTATTCCAGGAAGCCTTCCTTGAACCTCCCAGCTAAAATTAATCATGCCTTCATTAAGCACACCCACAACACTGCTTTCACCTCCCAGGCACTCATCCGATTCTACCAAGTGAGCTGAGTGCAGGTCAGTCTCCTCCACTACATTGTGAGGTCCTTAAGAGTGTTCTAATCTTCTCAGTACATCCTCTCTTTTCACCATGTATTGTGAGAAGTAAGCATTCGATCCATTTTTACTTAATAAATGAACAAAGAAATATTCCCAGTGGTTAGTTAAGTCAGAGTGCAAAGATACCTTGCCTGTTAAGCCATTTCCCAAATGCTCAGGTCTCAAGGGGAGAGAACACGGCTGTTTTACCAAAACCCAGCCTCAGCAAAGCCAACTCAAAGAACCTGTGCTCTGAGCAGCCTTCCTAGCCTGAGGCCTTCTGCCTCATCTCGCCCCTAAACAATCCCTTCTTCTCCAGCTCCCACTCTGAATTTACCCTCTCCAAGTTTCATTAGCCGAGGAGTTTTCCTAAAGTAATTAGAATCGAAGGGTCTGTCCATGTGTTCCAGGTATCCAGAGTATTTCACTAGGATAGAAGAAAGAATGTAAAGAAAATGGACCCAAAACACCCATGCCTGCATAATATCGAGTCTCAATATCACACAGAAACAACGCGATCAGATGAGCTTAAGCTGCCCGACACCCTGAGGTACAGGAATAAATCTTCTCTCTGCATTCTGGGTGCCTGCCCTTCGGCTCAGAGGTTCAAGAGCTTCGTGGAAGCATCACACAAAAGGGACATAGGGGTCCCTAGCTTTCCTCTTAAAAAAACTAATTCAGGCCAGAAGCAGCGGCTCACGCTTGTAATCCCTGCTACTGGGGAGGCTGAGGTGGGAGGAGCACTTGGGTCCAGGAGTCTGAGACCAGCCTGGGCAACATACAGAGTCCCCCATCTCTACAAAAATATTAAAAATTAGCTGAGCATGGTGGATTGCGTCTGTAAATCCCTTATTTGGGAGGCTGAGGCTGGAGAATCACTTGAGCCCAGGAGGTGGAGGCTGCAGTAAGCTATGATTGCACCACGGCACGCCAGCCTGGGCAACTCAGCGAGACCCCATTTCAAAAACAAAAATCCACTTCAAACAAAGCATTTCCAACCCCATTAAATGCTTTTTGAAAATGTGGCCTCTCTTTCCCCAACAGAGTGTGATGACATGGATCCTGCGGACAAACCGCCCCAGGGCACACCTAGCACCGAAGCATCAGGCGCCACCAGGTCTCCAGCTCCTTCTCGGATGACATCCTTCAGCACGCCCCGGTCCCCCGAGATGTCCAACATCCTCTGACTTAACCGCTCGTACAGGGACTGGTGGAGAATGAAAGCCAGGCCTCAGACCCACCCGGCCACCCCTCATCGTCGACGCCCCCAAACGTCCGGGCCCTCACCTGGCCGGGGGCGTTGTCCCCTTCCAGGACTCCCTGGTTTAAGGCGGTTCCCCCCATGTCCTTGCTGCCCTCCCTGTGCCGTGAGCCTTCAGCCTGGTGCGCCCCGCTGCCCTCCCTAGCTGTGACTTTGGTGGGGTTCCGAAGGCCCCTTTATACCCGGCAGACCCTACCGATGGCGGCATTCCATTCTGGGGCCATGAGAAGGCACTCATCATTTCGTTCCAACTGCCGCCAACGGCCCTGGCTCTCGCGAGCTCTGGAACTACATAGGCCGCGCCATGAGGTGCGAGGTGCGGCCGGTAATGGGAGCGCACGAAACGTGATGGGACACGTAACGCGACCACGCAGGGCACGTTGGGCACGTGGAGGGGCGTGAGGTGGTGGCACATAATGGGAGCGCGCAGAGCATGATGGGGCACGTGACGGAGCGCGAGGCGGGGCCTGTAACCGGAGCGCGCGGGGCATGATGGGGCACGGACGTGGGGGGGTTAGGTGGGGCACGTAATTGGAGCGCGCGGGGCATGATGGGGTACCTAACTGGAGCGACAGAAAGCATGATGGGGAACTTGCAGGGGCGTGAAGCTGGGTACGTAATGGGAGCGCGCGGGGAATATTGGGGCACCTAACGAGCACGCAGAACATGATGGGGCATGGGTGCAAGGTGCGGCACACAGTGGGAGCGTGTGGGGCATGATGGGACACATGGCGAGGCCGTCAGGGCACAGGGGAGCACTTTTGGAACACGTGACAGGGCTGCCGCCCTTGAAGGAACCCTCGGAGTGGCTGTGTGGTGGGGCACGTGAGGCAGGTTCAGGGAAAAGGATGCAGCATGTGATTGCAGGGCAACCTGGTGAGGACATGAGAGCCATCTGCCACCAGCAGAGTTCAGGGCTCCCAGCTGTGGGTTACTTCCACCTTCTTCCACTTTCCTTCTTCCATTGTGTTCTAGAGAAATTTAGGCCCAGATGAGACACTGATTGACTGACTGATTGATTGATCGACAAAGGCTGGCTCTGAGCCCAGGCTGGAGTTCAGTGATGGATCTCAGCTCACTGCAGCCCCCACCTCCTGGGCTCAAGAGATCCTTCTGCCTCAGCCTCCCCAGTAGCTGCGATTACAGATGTGCACCACCAGGCCCAGCTAATTTATTTTTTAGTTTTTAACTTGCTGGAAAGATGGTTTGTAGCTTTGTTGTCTAGGCTGGTCTTGAACTCCCGACTTCAAGCGATCCTCCCGTCTTGGCCTCGCAAAGTGCTGGGGTTATAGGCGTAGGCTGTAGCCAGCTTTCAATACTGCCCCAATTGGGAGTTAAGTTTCCAACACATGAAATTAGGAGGATACATTCAAACCACAGCAGTATATTATGACCATAATATTCATTAACTGTGTAACAGGCCAGGTGTGGTGGCTCACGCCTGTAATCCCAGCACTTTGGGAGGCCAAAGCAGGTGGATCACTCGAGGTCAGGAGTTTGACACCAGCCTGGCCCACACGATGAAACCCCATCTCTACTAAAAATACAAAAAATTAACTGGGCATGGTGGCGGGCGCTTGTAACCCCAGCTACTTGGGAGGCTGAGGCAGGAGAATCACTTGAACCCGGGAGGTGGAGGTTGCAGTGAGCGGAGATCACACCCCTGTGCTCCAGCCTGGGCAACAAGAGTGAAACTGTCTCAAAAAACAAACAAAACCTGTATAGCAGAGTGTCATTGATTTTCTAAACGTTGAAAGACTTCACATTTAAAAAAAAAAAAAGCTTACAATTCAATATTATTGAGTGAAAGAAACCAGACACAAAAGAGTACGTTCTATATGATGCTGTTTATGTGAAATTCAAAAACAGGCCACATGACAACATGGTAATAAGGACAGTGGCTGTCCTTGTTAGGAGTTATGACTGGGAGGAGGCAGGAGGGAGCTTTCTGGAAACACTACATCTTGCTCTTGAGTGTGTGTGTACATACAGCAGGTGTTTATCAAGCTGTGTGGTTAAGATTTGCACACTTGTATATGTTATACCTTGATTTTAAAATCTTAAAAAGGTACCTTCAAATCTCTTTAAAAAAAAGAAAAAAAAAAAAGAGGCCAGGCTCGGTGGCTCACACCTGTAATCCCAGCACTTCCCGAGGCTGAGGTGGGAGGATAAACATCAAATTTTATCAAGCTGTGTGGTTAAGATTTGCACAGTTGTATATGTTATACCTCAATTTAAAAAATCTAAGTGGCCAGGCGCAGTGGCTCACGCCTGTAATCCCAGCACTTTGGGAGGCCGAGGTGGGTGGATCACAAGGTCAGGAGATCGAGACCATCCTGGCTAACATGGTGAAACCCTGTCTCTACTAAAAATACAAAAATTAGCCTTGGTGTGGCGCGTGCACTGTAGTCCCAGCTGCTTGGGAGGCTGAGGCAGGAGAATGGTATGAACCCAGGAAACGAGGTTACACAGTGAGCAGTGTGCAGCTGCACTCAGCCTGAGTGACAGAGCAAGATTGTCTCAAAAAAAAAAAAAAAAAAAAAAAAAAAAGAGGCCAGGCTTGGTGGCTCATACCTGTAATCCCAGCACGGATAAACATCAAGTGTTTATCAAGCTGTGTGGTTAAGATTTGCACAGTTGTATATGTTATACCTCAATTTAAAAAATCTAAGTGGCCAGGCGCAGTGGCTCACGCCTGTAATCCCAGCACTTTGGGAGGCCGAGGTGGGTGGATCACAAGGTCAGGAGATCGAGACCATCCTGGCTAACATGGTGAAACCCTGTCTCTACTAAAAATACAAAAATTAGCCGGGTGTGGCGGCGTGCACCTGTAGTCCCAGCTGCTGGGGAGGCTGAGGCAGGAGAATGGTATGAACCCAGGAGGCGGAGTTGCAGTGAGCCGAGATCGTGCCGCTGCACTCCAGCCTGGGTGACAGAGCAAGATTCCATCTCAAAAAAAAAAAAAAAAAAAAAAAAAAAAAAAGAGGCCAGGCTTGGTGGCTCATACCTGTAATCCCAGCACTTTGGGAGGCTGAGGCGGGAGGATTGCTTGAGGCTAGGAGTTCAAAACCAGCCCAGGCAACAAAGCAAGACCCCTGTCTCTACTAAAATAAATAAAACAATAAAATTTAAAAATTAAATAGAGAGATCGAACCATCATCTGCCAGTTTGTATTAGAAAAAAAGAGAGAGAGAGGGAAGGCTGGGTGCAGTAAGGCTTATACCTGTAATCCCAGCACTTTGGGAGGTCAAGGAGGGAGGATTGCTTGAGCCCAGAAGCTAAAGACCAGCCTGGGCAACAAAGCAAGACCCAGTACCTACAAAATTTTTTTAAAAATTAGCTTGGCATGGTGGCATGCGCCTGCAGTCTCAGCTACTCAGGCAGCTGAGGTAGGAGGATGGCTTGAGCCTAGGAGTTGGAGGCTGCAGTGAGCTGTGACCACGCCACTGCACTCCAGCCTGGGCAACAGAGCAAGATGCTGTCTTCCCCCGCCCCGCAAGCCCCTCCCCGCAAAAAAGGAGAGTAAGAGCAAGAGCTTGAGATTCAGAAAGAACTGTTTCCCAGCACCTGTCTGCTCCTGTCAGGGTCGTGAGGTGTGGACGATGTGCCCAGTCCCTCTGTTTCTGCCCTTCCCCCACAGTGGCCAAGGCCAGCACCTGAATGTTATCAGAGCAGGCCCAACAAAGGCTGCCTCCCCAGTCCCGTGATGTAACCCAGTTTCCACCTGATTCTGGTGACCTTGGGGACACAGGAGTGTTGCTGGGAAAGGGGAGGAGAGAAGGGGCAGAGACCAGGCAGTGGTGCAGGCGTCCAGCTGCACTCCCCACTTCTGTCTCTGTGCCTGCTGTTTCCCTGCTGGGAAGAAGAAAAGGCTGAGCAATCTCTTGATCCATCGGATGAGTGATGCTGGCTTGAGGCCGTAGTGGGAGGCCCAGCGGATCGTGAGAAGCCAGGTATTCCAATGTTGGGCTCTCCCTGGGGGCTGCTGGTGCTCTTCCTGTCTCACTGACAAGCTTTAGTAGGGGAGCAGGTGGGAGATCAGGGTAGAGGCCTTGTAGGTTCCAGGCTCTCTACAATTACCTGGGAGTGTCACCTGTAAATGTAGAGTTCTGGGTCTCACTGGAGACCCCCTGAAGCACTTCTGAAGGTGGGCCTCTAGATCTATTACACCTATGCTTTCAACAGTTTCTCGAAAGTTTGGGAACCGATCTAGAAGGTGGAGAGCTTGCCTGGGTTTTGCTGTCCAGTTCTAGGTCCAGATGCCTGCTGGGGCTGGACCTTGCATTATTAGTGTCATTGCAAATGACCCTGCAGATGGCCCCTTTCATGCTTGTCTCCAAATTTGAGTAAAAAATGTAAAAACACACACACACACACACACACACGTATCTTTAAGGGACCAGTTTTTTCATTGCAGTCTTTTGTTTTACAGCTGGGGAAACTGGGGCCCAAGGTCATGTGGGTTAGGACTGGGATCCAGGACTGAAAGTGTTTCCTCTAAAAGTCTGGTGCTCCTTAGGGTTGAGGATGGTGGATGAGTGCTGGACAGAGGGAGGGGAGAGGACAGGACTGAGGACGGATGCCTGTGTTTCATCCCGGACAGTGAGTGTGGATGGCTTGGCAGGTGAGCCTGCCGGAGCTGGAGGACCGGCTTCAGTGTCCGATCTGCCTGGAGGTCTTCAAGGAGCCCCTGATGCTGCGGTGCGGCCACTCCTACTGCAAGGGCTGCCTGGTCTCCCTGTCTTGCCACCTGGACGCCGAGCTGCGCTGCCCCGTGTGCCGGCAGGCGGTGGACGGCAGCAGCTCCCCGCCGCCCAACGTCTCCCTGGCTCGGGTGATCGAAGCCCTGAGGCTCCCTGGGGACCCGGAGCCCAAGGTCTGCGTGCACCACCGGAACCCGCTCAGCCTCTTTTGCGAGAAGGACCAGGAGCTCATCTGTGGCCTCTGCGGTTTGCTGGGCTCCCACCAGCACCACCCGGTCACGCCCGTCTCCACCGTCTACAGCCGCATGAAGGTGGGGAGCGACGGTGCAGCGGGGCTGGCGGGGCCCGCGGGGACCGGATCCTGTGCTCTCTGGCGCCATCACCTGGCACCAAAAGCATCCAGCTATCCTCGAGTTCCCTCCAGCCCTGCCCTGGCGCATTCATTCCTTAGCATTTGAGCGGCAGCTCAACCCAGGTGCCGAGGATTGAAGCCACATGCACAGGATGGGGAAGCTCCCTGGTGTCACGTACTCACCCCTTCTTTTTTTTTTTTTTTTTTTTTTTTTAATTTGCAGTTCTGGTTTTTCTTTTTATTCTTTCTCCTCTCTCTCTCT